TGCACTGAAGGAATTGGCAAAAAACAAGTCCACCGGAATTGACGGAATACCCAATGAGATGTGTGGTGGTTAAGTTTGTGTGTCACCTTGGCTGGGCCTGGCTGAGTGGCTGGACAGCTCAATGTAGTTATTCCTCATGGTGAGATTGGTAATTAACTCCATGGTGGAATCTATGAGAGCAGCTGAGTAGCTGCGTGGGGTATGTGGTCTGCTTCCCATATGTAAGAAACAGCTTTGGGAATGGTCTCTAGCTTATGGCACATTTGAACCCTGCATGTAGCCATGTCATGGCAGCAGTTGCCATGTTCTGCTGACCTTGGGACTTTCAATGGACTTGAATTAATAGCCTGCCATGTGGTTTGGTAACATTGAGACTGTGCCTTTTTACCTGTCAACCTTGGGCTTGTCAGCCTTAGCAGCCAGCAGCTGAGTGAAAAAAAGCCTCCAGCTTCAGTGGGCCAGGAGTAGGAGGCAGAGCTGAAGCCCAAGGTTGAGGGCTTTCACCCAGCCCCTACAGCCTGGCACTTTGAACTTGGACTTAAAGCCTCCAAATTGTGAAGATAAACCCTTGTCTGTTAAGGCCATCCCATTTGTGGTACATTCCTATCAGAGTGGCACTAAGTAATCAAAACAGAATATGGTACGGAGAGAGTGGGGTACTGCTCTATCAGGTACCTAAAATATGGAAACAGGAGTGGAGTGCATCCTTGACGAGAGACCCCAGCATGCAGCATGAGAAACAGCAGGAGCAGAGCCAAGAGACCAGCATGAGAGACAGCAGAAGCAAAGTCAAGAGAACTGGCACTAAGACTGTGACAGCCTTACCAGCCCACAGAGGAGAAAGCTGGATGCCACTGGGTAGGTGGCTTCCTGGTGGAGTGGGTTGCCTTTGGGTAATAATTGGTAGTAGAGACAGGCATGAAATGGAGGGCAGATTTGCTGGCCCACAGAGCAAGAAAGCTGAGTGCTTTGGGGGCAGGAAGATTTCCGGTGGAGTGGGTTGCCTTCGGCATTAATCGGCAGAAGTGGAGAGACCAAGGAAACGTGAAACAGAGCTGCCTCAATCTCAAAGGGTAGCACCATGGCCTCTGGGGGTGGAACCATCATAGCCCCCTAAGTTCAAAGAGCCAGACCTTCACCAGTTTGGTTCTGGAGTGTGGGGCTGCTCATTCATGTGAGCTAGTGGGATGGAGTCATAGCCGCTGACCAAGACTAAGGGGGCAGGGCTGCCATGCCCAAGAGGGAGAGGAATGGAGTCCACCAGGCCAAGGGGGTAAAGTCACCAGTCGGGAACTAGGGGACTGGAGTCAACCAGTGAAGGAGATCTGTACAGGTGCCAAGTTGACAAGCAGTGGAATTGTTGTGGTTAAGTTTGTGTGTCAACTTGGCTGGACCTGGTTGAGTGGCTGGGCACTTTGAATTTGGACTTAAAGCCTCCAAATTGTAAGAATAAAGCCTTGTCTGTTAAGGCCATCCCATTTGTGGTATATTCCTGTCAGAGTGGCACTATGTAACCAAAACAAGATGTTTCAACAAACAGATGCTGTGCTGAAGGCACTCACTTGTCTATGCAAGAAATTTGGAAGGCAGCTACCTGGCCAACTGACTGGAAAAGATCCATATTTGTACCCTTTCCAAAGAGAAGTGATCCCACAGAATGTAGAAATTAACAAACAATATTGTAAATATTACACGCAAGTAAAATCTTGCTGCAGATAATTCAAAAACAGTTGCAGCAGTATATTGACAGAGAACTTCCAGAAATGCAAGCCGGATTCAGAAGAGGACGTGGAATGAGGGATATCATTGCTGATGTCAGTTGTATCTTGGCTAAAAGCAAAGAATACCAGAAGGATGCTTACTTGTGTTATATTGACTATGCAAAAGCATTCGATTGTGAATATAATAACAAATTATGGATAATATTGAGAGGAATGGACATTCCAGAACACTTCACTGTGCTCATCAGGAACCTGTACATAGATCAGGAAGCTGTTATTTGAACAGAACAAGGGGATACTGCATGGTTTAAAATCAGAAAGGTTGTATCCTTTCACCATACTTATTCAATCTCTATGCTAAACAAATAATTCTAGAAGCTAGACAATATGAAAAAGAGCATAGCATCAGGATTGAAGGAAGACTCATTAACAACCTGTGATGTGTAGATGACACAACTTTGCTTGTTGAAAGTGAAGATGACTTGAAGCACTTACTGATTAAGATTAAAGACTTCAGTCTGCAGTATGGATTACATTTCCACACAAAGAAAACTAAAATCCTTACAACTGGACCAATAAGCAGCATCACAATAAATGGAGAAAAGTTTGAAGTTGTTAAAGATTTCATACTACTTGGTTCCACAATCAACACCAATGGAAGCAGTGATCAAGATATCAGATGATATATTGCATTGGGAAAATCTGCTGCAAAAGACCTCTTTAAAGTGCTGAAGAGCAGAGACGTCTCCTTGAAGACTGAGGTGCGCCTGACACAAGCCATGGTATTTTCAGTTGCCTCATATGCATGTGAGAGCTAAACAATGAATAAGGAAGACCGAAGATGAGTTGATGCTTTTGAGTTGTGGTGTTGGCAAAGACTGCTGAAGTTACCATGGCCTGCTAAAAGAACAAATCTATCCTGGAAAAAATGCAGCCAGAAAGCTCCTTGGAAGTGAGAATGGCCAGACTTCATCTCATCTACTTTGGTCATGTTGTCAGAAGGGACCATTCCCTGGAGAAGGATATCATGCTTGGTAAAGTGGAGGGTCCGTGAAAAAGGGAAAGGTCCTCAACAAGATGGATTGACACAGTGGCTGCAATGATCAGCTCAGGTACAGCAAGGACTATGAGGCTGGCACAAGACCAGGCAGTGTTTTGTTCTGTTGTAAATAGGGTCACTATTAATCGGAGCCTACTTTAACAGCACAACAATAACAGGTTAAGCAGATCTTTCAAATGTTGACACATTTCATTATACAGTATTTTAAAAAATCATATTTCTTAATATCACCTGGATGTCAACAGAAAAGACTAAATATTGAGAAGCTGTCAATGTCATGGCAGTGGATACATGTTTTCTAAATTTCTAATTCTCTCTTGAAAGATCCAAAATTATCATTGGCAACAAAAATTGTCCCTTGTTTGCCATGAAGTGACAGGTGTACTTTATTTTTGAAAAAGAAAACAAAACAAAAATCTGTCAGATACCCAAGCCTGAATAACCATAGTTTGTCTGTCTAATAAAAATAGTGTTGGTGGGAAAAAAAATAAAAATTAAAAAGGCTAGTTTAGCTTGCAACTCAAACACAGAAGTTCTTTTTCTGGAGACAATTACAGGAAAACTTGTGAGAGCTGGCACTCCACAGGACTGCCTTGTTTTTCTGGGTCTCACAAGTTTTCCACTTTTGACAGAGTGCAGTCTTACCATTTTTCTATTGCTCTGTATTAGTGGAAAATATTTACTTCCTCTGAATAGTTTCTACCTTATGTACATTCTGGCTTTTGCAGGTTTTTCTGTTTACTCCAAGAGCCCTGGTGGCTCTGTAGTTAAGTGCTTTACTGCTAACCAAAAGTTTGTTGATTCAAATGTTCTTCAGGAGAAAGATATGGCAGTCTGCTTCCATAAAGATTTACAGCCTTGGAAACCCTAAGAGACCATTCTATTCTGTCTTAGGGTTGCAATGAGTTGGCATCCACTTGATGAGAACAGGTTTGAGTTTTTTGGTTTTATGAGTTATTTTTGTTTTGTGTTACTGTATACTTTGATATGCAGAAGTATGCAGTAAAAGGATACATACTTTCCATTTTTTCACACATATTATTAAAAAGAAGCATACTCAAGGATTGAGTTTGAATAAAACTAAAATTTTTTACTATCATAATTTTTACTACATTGTCCTGCAATCATATGGCAGTGAAAAATATGTTGAGTATTAGTGCAGGTGAGTGCCATCCTCTTGATTTTCATGCTAAGGTATCAGCACTTTAACCCACCATTGCTTCTATTTTTAATAAAATACATTTTATTGAAATATAATTTATGTACAGTGAAATACAAAAAACTAAAGTGACATGGGTCAATGCATTTTTTTGCAGTATTTCTTCCCCTTACCCCTCCCCCATATGTTTCCTTCCATATATTAACTTTTCCTTGACTTTTTACAGTAATGAACTAATAGTATATTTGTCCTTTTGTGATTGACTATTTCACTCAGCATAATGTCCTCCAAGTTCATCCATGTTATGCTGTGTTTTGCAGATTCTACATTATTCTTTAGTGTTACACAGTATCCCATTGTCCCGCTATTGCTTTTGTAAATCTCAACACAGTGAAAAAGTCAAATAATGTCTTCGCATTGTTTTCATGTGGCAGAGCCTGGCAAAGAGTCTCAGGAACCCTCCTAAGGGTTCCATAGACCACAATTTGAGAAGTACTGGGTTTTTGGCGCATACAGAAATCACACTCTCTTTCCTTTCTGAGTTATTCATGCTTGAGGCTTATTTATGATTGTTAAGTTTGACTACTGAAACGCCAAAGGAAAGAAATGCCAAGGTGTCAAACACATTCAAGAGATAAAGCTTAAAATAAAAACAAAACAAAACACCAAACTCACTGCTGCCGAGTCTATTTGACTCATGGCGACCTCTCCTTGGGTTTCTGAGCCGGTATCTCTAAGGACGTAGATTGCCCAATTTTCCTTCCAAAGAGTGGCTGGTGGGTTTGAACCACCAGCCTTCTGGCTAGCAGTCAAATGCTTTAGGCACTATGCCACCAGAGCTCCCAGGGTAAAGTTCCAGCAGGAAGAAAATCACTCTGAGGGGGGAGAAGGAATTCAGAAGGCAAGCTTGGGCTTGTCGTTGCCAGTGGCAACAATCTTCACAGAGAAGCCAAGCTGTCATTGATTAGTAATGTCTTCCATCCGCGGGCGGGAGGAGAAGGCGGGGGCAGTGGCTGAAGAAGGAAGGCCTCCCCGGACTTTTAGTTGGGGTGTTTTGGGTTGCGAGTCAGCTCGCTCGTTCTGTGATCTATTGTGAGTGGCTTCCGAGAGCCCCATGTTGATGTCGGGGAGGGAGGGAAGATGGCGGCTGTGGCGGCGGGCGGCCTGGTGGGGAAGGGGCGAGACATCAGCCTAGCGGCCCTGCAGCGCCACGACCCCTATATCAACCGCATCGTGGACGTGGCCAGCCAAGTGGCTCTGTACACTTTCGGCCATCGGGCCAACGAGTGGGTGCGTGCTAACGCGACGGGGCGGTGCAGAACTGGGCTGGGTGGGAAGCTGGGTTGTCAGATTCCGGGCTGAGAACCCGGTGAGCGGGAGGAGAAGCTGACGCCTTGGAGGTGGTTGGCGGCGGATCAGGGACCTGAGAGCAAAGTTGTGGAAATCAGAACCCCTGAATCCGCGCCGTGGGGAAAGGGCTGGCCGATCTGTGAAACCACCTGAAATTGGGGAAAAAGGCGTAAATATCTAAGATACCCCAAGTTGGGAGACCAGACCAATCGGGTACAGGACCCAGAGAGCTGAAGGGAAGAAAGGACCTGGTGCCTTCAGGCCAGAAGACTGGTGGACTCCAAGAAAATAAAGCAGAATTTTGTTACAGTAAAAGTGGCTAGAGGAGGCAGGGACAGGGGACGAACAAAAGAGGAGAGTTCTGGTTGTGGAACATCAGTCTTAGATGGGACAAGAAATCATGCCTTGATAAAGGAGATAAATCTGAAGTAAACTCAGGTAACATACTAAGAGAAGAGCAAAACATTGGGAAGTAGAAGACAAAGTAAGTTGAGACTAATACTTAGAAGGAGGCTAACGTTCTTGGGAAGATTATTACACCACAGTCCACCAAGATCAAGGTGAATTTGTTATTTCCATTCGGGAGCTGAATTATTTTAATGTTCTTCTGAAAGCAGAGCCCCAGTGAATAATAATGGAATGAAATTTAATTTCCTCACAATCAGAATGGGACAGGAGCATAAGACACTCAAGGAGACAGGTTGCAAGTGTTTTTGTAACCCACCCATTTGAATGTAGAGAGATGTATTTTTTCCCTTCTTTTCCTCACAGTAGTTTTTGTCCTAAATAATATTCAGCTCTCCATTGTATAACCACTCACCAGTTATTTTCAACAAATTACGGAATAGTCAAGAACTGAGCCTAGATGAATGGATCACAGATGAATTTGAGAAGCATATTCTCCATGTCATTAACAAACACCAAAATTTAAGGAAGGAAAATCCATATTGAACAGATTTATATTTTTAACACCAGCAAACATTTCATTTATATAGCCTACTCTCAATATAGATCATTAGCAGCCTGTAATAAAACGAATTTTTTAAAAAATTAGAATAATTAATACAAAAATAAAAAAGCAATTCCTAAAATGGGAGAGGAGGAGAATAGATCTGCCCCAAGTTCTTAATTGAAGAAATTTACTGAAATAGGGCAAAGAACTGAGCTGTTTTCTTAGTAGCCATCATGGAGAGTTCTTTAATATTCATTGTTCTACGATAGGCCGTGTACCACTTAATCAGGAGAGAAGTTATTTGTTCCAGCTTTCAGAGAAATTTGTTTCCTGGGTCTTTATATATATAAAGGACATTGAGCAACATAGTGGACAACCTCCTCAGGGACAATTAAAAAATATAAAGATACTTTACATATGGCTTTTATACTGCTCTATAGGAAATGCCAAAGGCATAATGTCATAATTCAGTAAAGGAAATTCTGTAGTAGAGAGAAAGTTAAGGTTCAGGGATGTATATAGTTCTATAAACCAGTTTGAAACTAGAATAGAATGAAGAATGCTGAAACACTGTTATACCATGAAGTAGAGAATTCCTTTTGAATAACATTTGTTTCCTGTAACTTTTTGACAGGATCCATGTGATAGATACCTGCTAAAATAGTTACAGAGTTTTATTAGACACCCAGTGGATACCATCTACTAAAGCCTCATCAAAAGGTAGAAGTGTCACAGTGCATTATTTACAGGAGTTGTTTCCCTGCTTCCTGAACTTGTTGCCTTCAGATAGGGCATAATTCCTTCAGCAAAAGGTCATTCTTTCAAAGTGCTAAACTTCAAGGCTGTGATAGCCAGAAAAAAGACCTAGTTCAGCTGCAGAACAGATGCTGGGAGCAGACAAAAATTGTCACCGTCTCCATATGCCATCACTCGAGGATGGAGTCTTTTGAATATAAGGCTAATGAAAGTATAAAGACATTCTTGAGAATTGAGGAGAACGTATTGTAGGAAGGCAGATAGATGTATTACCTGAAAATAGGTGAAGAATGACATGAGGCCTTCAGAGGAGGAGGAATTAGGAATGAAGGGTGGACAGAGAATGAGCTGCTTTATAGAAGTATTAAAGATTGTCTTGAATGCAATAGGAATTTTAGAGTTAGACCTGCTCCCATTGCCAGGAAAGACTCCAGAAAAATCCCATCTATGTTTCAATTAAAGAGTATGACTGTCATTTTCACAAGAGCTCTAGTGGTGCAGTGGTTAAGTGCTCAGTTGCTAACTGACAGGTCACCTGTATGAACCCACCAGTGGCTCCACGGGTGAGAAGACATGACGATCTGCTCCAGTAAGATTATAGCGGTTGTCATGATTGAGGGAGGTGGGGCTGTTATTACCATATAGAGGATAGAAGCCAGGGATGGTGCTAAACTTACCATAATGCACAAGACAGACCCCATAACAAAGGTTTATCCAGCCCCAAATAACAGTAGTGCTGAGGTTCAGAGACTCTGCCTTAGAGTGACTATTGGCCTATTTCTCGCTAATGGTTTGCTAACTTTTCTATGTATTAAGATCACTTGGAGATTTGAAAAGTGAAAGCCACCAAATCAAGATCTCTGGCTATGAGGCCCAGGCATTTGATATTTATTAAAAGCTTCATAGGTGACTTGGATGCTACCATTGAGAGATACAGATTTAGAAGGATAAATAGAAACCTTCTGTCATTATTTTTACTTGCAATAATCAGTACAATTTAGTTTGCTTCAAGTCGTCTCAAAAGTATTAAATGGTGTGTTAAATCCCAATAAGTTGCAAAATGGCACTATTTTATATTGTTGTTATTGTTATGTGCCATTGAGTTGGACCAACTCATAGCGACCCCTCCTTGGGTTGCCAAGGCAGTATCACTACGGAAGTAGATTGCCCCATCTTCCTTCCAAGGAGTAGCTGGTGGGCTTGAACCACGAGCCTTCTGGTTAGCAGTCAAGTGCCTTAGGCACTCTGCTACCAGAGCTCCTGCACTATTTTATATTCCACTTTATTGTTTGAAAGGAGCTCTGGTGGTGTAGTGCCTAAAGCATTTGACTGCTAACCAGAAGGATGGCAGTTCAAACCCATCAGCCGCTCTGCAGACAAAGACTGGGCAATCTACTTTTGTAAAGGTTTACCACCTCAGAAACCCAAAGGGGGTTGCTGTGAGTCAGAATCAACATGATGGCAGTGGGATTTCTGGTTTATTATTTGAACTGCTTATTTGTTTATCACTAGTGAGATTTTATAAAGAGTGTGATAGAAAATAGTAGTTTAAGAAAATAAACTAAACCTAGCTACCCTTCAGGTCTGGAACTGAACCCACTCCTGTGGCTTCTAACCAAACAAAAGACAGGCAAATGATCTGAACATTTACTTTAGGTAGATACACTCCTTGGAAAGATCAATCATGGCAAAATAGAAGGGCTGTATATGCACAGGGAGACTGCTGGGGGTGGGAGTCAGGAGTGCATGGGAGGGAAGGACACAGGGAAGAGGTAACTATGGAGAGGAAGTGGGAGAGAGCTGTTGCCTTGTGGGATATTGCAGTCAATGTCATGAGACAAAGTGTATGTGAACTGCTATATGGAAAATGAATTTGCTTGTAAACTTTCACCCAAATCACAATAAAAATTTTTAAAAAAATAAAATAAAATATATATCCCAGGACTGTAAACATTAGGAGGATCTAAAGAAATTTTAAGTATTACTCACATCCCAACCCTGGACTTTGCCCAGAAAAAAAAAATTATCTTCTTGCCTGAGAATAACTGTAGTAGGATAGGGCTGTTTTTGTTGTTATGTGCCATCGATAGTAGGACCAGGAAAATGCATGAATTTGAGCTGTTTCAGTCACGCTAGAACAAATTTACATTTCTAAAGCCTCCTTATCTAGGTGTCACAGAACATGAAAATATGGGTCTGTGTTTTTGGGGTTTTTTTTAATCAAAAGGCATGGGTGGTATATAGACTGGTTATCTCTGTTCAGTGGAGAAACCAAGACATAAAATAATAAGCTAATTAGCCCAATATGATCTGGGGCAAACTTCACTCCAAGTCCCACACTGTAATAACTGAAGCATAATTTCTTTTATTATATATTTAGTGTATGTAATACAGAGAAACCTCTCAATTTTAATTCCAGGAGAAATATGTCTTATTTTCTGACTCTGAATTTTTCAATAGTAAAATACGACATTAAAGTATTTTTTTTTAATTAAAGAGAAAGGAATTTCTGTTATTACTTCATCAAGGAAAAAAAAGAAACAATTCAAAAACTATTAGCTTTATGTGTGCTGGTACATTCACACATCCATCATGGGCAGCTCTGAGATTAAACAGTCTAAAGGCAAATGCTGGAAAAGAGGAAAGCATTTGGCTTGGTAGCATGTGATCCTGACAAGACACCTAGGGACTTCTGGTCCTAGTTCTATCACCTGTATTTTGGCTTCAGTTTTCCATTAATGTGATGGATATATTAAATATTTCATTTTTGTAAATATGTTCTAAAAGGTATTGTGGGCTGGCAAATATTTGCCATGTATGCCAGTTAAACTTTAGGGATACCTACAGATACTTAAGATTGTGTAGCATTTACTGGAATTCAATAGCCATTTTCTCAATGATTAATAAATACTGTCATGGTCTGTATTTAAAGCAATTCTTGGCACTTAAAGTGTGCCCAGGATATAGATTTTCCAACAGGTATGAATTACCTTTTTTTTTTTTGTACAAAAAAGAGTAAGAAATAATGTTTCTTTTCTTTTTTTTTTTTTTTTTCATTTTGACAGGGTATTATTCAAAGCATAGTGGCAAATGAATCACAGTTGAGAAATAAGGATGCTTTTCACAATGTATAGGAGTGATTTATGTAAATGCCATAGTGAACCTAGTTTAAGGATGGAGAAATTTTAAGAACCCTTACTTTCTTACCTGTGCTTATGTTGTTGTTGTGTGCCGTCAGTCATCCCTGACTCATAGCGACCCCTCCTTGGGTTTCGGAGGCGGTATCACTACGGAAGTAGGTTTGCCCAACCTTCCTTTACCTGTGCTTATGTATTAGAGCAAATACTGGCTAAAATTTAACTGTTAGGGACTGTTTATTTCTAATAGCATATTCTATAATAATTAACATCTTGAGGTTAAACATATTGTTAATAAGTAATGATGTTTTCCAAAGTCTTTATTCTTAACAAACAATGTTTGATGATAGTTTGGCCACAGCAGATTTTATTTTCATGATTCCTAATTAGATCCATGGGAAGAGAATATGTTATTGAACTAAAGCAATGGTTCTCAAACTGGCACACATTAGAATCTAGAAGGCTTAATAAAATACAAACTGCTGGGCCCCACCCCCAGAGTTTCTGATTCAGTAGGTCTAGGAGCTCTGGTAGCTTAGTGCCTAAGGCACTTGACTGCTAACCAGAAGGCTGGTGGTTCAAACCCACTAGCCACTCCTTGGAAGGAAGGTTGGGTAGTCTACTTCCATAGGGATACCACCTGGGAAACCCAAGGAGAGGTCGCTGTGAGTCAGGTCCGACTCAACGGCACTTAACAACAACAATAACAACAACAAGGTACCAGTACCAGTTGCTGTGGAGTCTATTCTGACTCGTGGTGACATCATGTGTGTCAGAGTAGAATGGTGTTCCATATGGTCTTCAATGGCTTGTTTTTTGGAAGTAGATTGTCAGGCCTTTCTTGTGAGGCACCGGGGGTGAACTTGAACCTCCAATATTTTGGTTTGCAGTTGAGCTTGCTAACTGGTTGCACCACTCAGGAGCAGCAGGTCTAGGGTGGGTCTAGATAATTGTGTTTTCAAAAAGTTTCCAGGGGGTGCTGATGTTGCTGATCTGTGAATTAGGACCACTGAAAACTGCTCAGAGTACTTGAGCATGTGAAAAGACGATGCTTTCAATTGTTTCTGTGTCATTTAATAATTGTTTTAATATTACTTCTCCTGACTTAAAGAATGTATTAATGTGTTTTTTTTCCAAAAAAAATTATAAAGTGCTTAAATTTTGAATGATTATATTAATGATAAAATATTGGGGGTTTAAATAGAATGCTGAAATTAAACTGTATAAATAGCAAAAGTAATTTTAAATTTTGAATTATAGTAGTTTAATTACTATTTGGAGTCCCTGGATAGTGCATGCAGTTAACATACTTAGTTGCTGACCCAAAGGCGCTTCAAGTCCACCCAGAGGCACCGTGGAAGAAAGTCCTGGCAATCTACTTCTGAAAAACCAACTTTGTGGAGCACAGTTCTACTCTGACATACATGGGGTCTCTGTGAGTCAGAACTGATGCCACTGCAACTAATTAATTACTAGTTAGTCAAACAAATGGGTACTTATATGTTTTTAGTTTGCTTTGTATTGATGACCATTTTCATCAGGGCCTGGGTTCCTGCCTTTGGAGAAATGGAAAAGAAACCTAGACAAATGAACTAACTGAACTATCATTTTTTATTTTCCTACCCTGCTCAGGCAAATTTCTCAAGTCCTAGCTTGGTAATACTTCTGCCTAACTTTATTTCAACCATCTTAGATCAGAACTTGACTCTAAATATTCCACACCATGTAGGTGATTTATCAGATTGACAACTCTACAGTGTTATTGCCCTCTTTCATATAGTAGTCAGACAGAGTTATTGGCAGATCATCTGTTCTCCTAGGTGATAGGATATGTCAAGAGAAAAATGAACCCAGAAAATAAAAAGAAGGATAATGAAATGCAGACAAAAGTGATTTCTGCACCTTGCCATATACCCAATTCAAAGGGTGGAGGAAAAGGCAGCACACTTATTATAATCTCTTCCTTCTAATGAAATCCATGGAGCACATTCAGCTATTTTCTTATTGTTTTAGTCAGAGGTGTGTTGCCATCCCTGCATTTGGTAAAGAGAGATAATGATAGTTTATTTTGTAAATGACAAAAGGAGAACAGCTGCCTCCTGCTGCTTCATGAGCAGTGCCACAATTATGGCAGGGAACCTGCTTTCTCCTTTTCCTAAGAATAACCCCTTATGTTGCATATATTTGGCTCAGTGCAACTTCTACTTGAAACTAAATATAATTCCTACTTACTCTATAGGAAGTTTGTGTCCTCCAACTCCTGTGACTCTTTACCATTAATGAAGATAAATATTTTGCTGTGTATTTTGTTTCTGTTTTTTAGGAGAAGACTGATGTGGAGGGAACTCTATTTGTTTACACAAGGTAAGAGTATTTACTTTTATAAAGTAACTAACAACTTTTGAAGTAGTATTTTAACTCAATTGTGCCACTATTCTTCAAAAGCTGCTTTATTTCAAAGAGAAGGAAAAGAACTGAATCTTAGTTTGAAATTATTAGCTAACCTAAGGAAGAGAATACTGTGTAATAACCCTGGTATATTCTAGTGAATAATACTTTAAGAATATTTAAACCTCAATATAGACCAAAAAAAAAAAAAAAAACCCTCACTGCCATTGAATCGATTCCAACTCACAGTGACCCCTGCTGGGTTTCCAAGGCTGTAAATTTTTAAAGAAGTAGATTGCCCCATTTTCCTTCTGTAGAGTGGCTGGTGGGTTTGAACTGCTGACCTTCTCATTAGCAGCCAAATACTTTACCTACTATGCCACCATAGCTCCTTAAACCTCAATATGTTGTTGTTGTTGTTTGCCGTCGAGTCGGCCCCTACTCATAGCGACCCCTCCTTGGGTTTCCGAGGCAGTATCACTACACAAGTAGATTGCTCCATCTTCCTTCCGAGGAGTGGCTGGTGGGTAGGTTAACTTACATCTTTGACTGCATCATGTTTACAATAACCCCACTGCCATCGAGTCGATACAACTCCTTGCAACCCTAGGACAGAGTAGAACTGCCCCATAGGGTTTCCAAGGCTTTAAATCTTTAAGGGAGCAGACTTAAACATAGGTTTGGCAGATGATATTTCTATATATATATTTGTATGTGCTATCAAAACATCCATATATATAAAACAGAGAGCAAAGTTATGATAACTTTTTAGTCACAACTAAATACCTTAAGGAATGAGTTGCTGGGCCTGCAGGCTTTGGACCATGGTTGTGGGAGACATCAAGGCAGACTGCCTTATATTTCTCCCACAGAGTGGCTGGTGGATTTGAACCACTGACCTTTTGGTTAGCAGCTGAATGCATTAACCATTGTGCCACCAGAGCTCCTATATAAAATAGTAGAACTAAATATTTATATTTTGAAGATTCAGATGAAAGATAGAAAGGTCTTGAATATAATTCATTGGCAAAGAGCCAGTATTGCACTATTAAGAATATTAGATTATTTAGTCGATATTTGGAAAAGGGTTTTATTGGTTAACACACCCCTT